CGAATGCCACGAGTCGGCAGTTCTGGAGACCCGGCAATATGGCGAACCTCTTCCAGGGCTCCATTCGCCTCCAGAACACGCCCTGCAATACAGACATCGGCGACGCCGGCACCTGTCTCGCCGAAACAGACTGTCGCTCGCGCGGGGGAACCGGTTCCGGGCAGTGCGGCCGCAGTGGCCTCACGTGCTGTACCTTCAAGTTCACGTGTTCGGGAAAGACCTCTTCCAACGAGACCCTCTTCGTCAACCCGTCCTATCCGTTGGGCGAGAACGGCACCAACACATGTCAGGTGACCATCCAGAACGCGCCCGACGTCTGCCAACTCAGACTAGGTTTGTCTCTCTCTCTCCCTCTATTGGTTATTGCTCGCCCTCTCACTCCCCCCTCTCCCCCCAGACCTCGAGGAGTTCAGTCTCTCGCCGCCCGACGAATACGGCAGATGTACTAAAGACTCATTTATGGTGCGCACGACTGTCGGCGAACGACTGCCAATGCTTTGCGGCGAAAACAAAGGCCAACACCTGTACGTAGATATGGGCCGCGGATCCGGAAATCCCGTCGTTCTGTCGGTCATCACGAATGACATCGACTTCTCGCGCAAGTGGAAGATCAAGATCTCTCTGATCCCGTGCAACAACTACGTGATGGCGCCGTCCGGTTGTCTCCAGTACTACCGCCTGCCCTCTGACGTGATCCGCTCCTTCAACTACGGCCCGAGAGTGGACTCGAAGTCGCGCTATCTGTCGAACCTTCGCTACACGTCTTGCATTCGCGTCGAAGAGAACTTCTGTGCCATCAAATGGATGACCGAAGCGGAGAACTCGTTCTCGTGGGGCGCTTCCAACGACCCGCTCTACAGCGCCGGCAACGCCTCCTTCTCCGACTTGGGCCTCACGGGCGGCCTCTGCAACGACGACGACTACGTGGGCATCGATCAGGGCTCGCAGGAGGGCTCGGGCGCCGGCGAAGACCGCTTCTGCGGCGGAAGGCTCTTCTACAACAATGTCGTCATTTGTAAGCTCTGTTTGAAT